GGGGGGCGGGGCCGGGAGCGCGCAGGCCCCGCTCCCAGGAGGCCGGGCGGGGCGGGGCTTCCCGCGCTCCCTACAAAAGCCGCGCCCGCGATAGCCGCTGCCGGCTGCGCTCCTGCTCCTCGACACCTGGTGATGGCGTCGCTTACGGTGAAGGCTTACCTTTTGGGCAAGGAGGACGCGGCCCGCGAGATCCGCCGCTTCAGCTTTTGCTTCAGCCCTGAGCTTGACGCAGAAGCTGAGGCCGTGGCTGGCCCCGGGCCATGCGAGCGGCTGCTGAGCCGGGTGGCCGCCCTGTTCCCCGCGCTGCGGCCCAGCGGCTTCCAGGCGCACTACCGCGGTGAGCCGGCCGGCGGCGCGGGGCGGTGACGCAGGCTGCCCGCGGGCCGGGTGGCCGCTCCTTCTTCTCGTCGGGCCTGGTGGCGCCTGCAGGGGTCTGCTGTGGCGGCTCACTGGGTGGGCGGCGGCCGGCGTGCGACCCCAGTTCGACTTCGGGTGCCAGCTTGGTGACCGGGTGTGATGACCAAGGCTGCGCTTTCGAGCTAGGCGCTGCCGGGGTCTCCGGGCGGATCTGAGGCCCCGGGGCGGGACCTGCCGTCCCTCCCCCAGCTATGATGTCGCAGATGTTGGCAAGGGCGCGCTGGGGCGTCCTCGCCGGCTCGCGGCGGGCACAGGGTGGTCAGGCGGGCACTCAGGTTACAGACGTCTTGCTCTGCCGAGTCTGGGTCTGCCGGCGCCAGGTGGGGGTTCAGATAATGCCGTGGAAGCGCCTGGAGTGGGCAGACGCGTAGGAAGGGGCGGTGGGGAGAGGACTGACGTCAGTAAACAAGCCTGGGCGTGGGGGGGACCAGGGGCGGTGCGGCCTGGCCAGGAGCGCCGGGCCGGCGGGCAGGGGAGGTCAGGGACACATCACAGAAGCCCAGACCTGGCCAAGTCCAGGCGTTATTCCATTGGCAGCGGTCAGAAGGACAGGATCAAAATGTTTTTCAGAAGTGTTGGTGTAGGGACAGAAGCCCAGGAACGAGCTGAGTTTCTTGCTGTACTGGTGTAACTGGTGGCTGCTGGGGTGGAGTTGGGAGGTTTTTGTGGCTGGGAGGGAGGCGGGCGGCCCCTGGAGGGGCAGTGCTGGGACCTCCCTCAGGACTGCTGCCAGCTGGCTAGGCCAGCTCCTGGTTTGTTTTGGTAATGATTTTATTGAGCTATAATTTATATACCATACAATTCACCCATTTAGAGTGTACAATTTTTAGCATATTCACAGATTTGTGCAACTGTCATCGTAATTTCAGAACCTTTTCATCACTTTTTAAAGGAACTTGTACTTTTAAAGGAACTGTTAGCTCTCTTCCCATTCCCATTCTCTCACCCCCCAGTGCCAAGTAACCACAAATCTACTCTTTTTCTCTATGGATTTTCCTATTCTGGACATTTCATATAAATATATAAATGGAATATAATTTATATGCATTATATAATCATACAATATTTAGTTTTTCCTAACTGGTTTCTGCACTTAGCATGTTTTCAGGGTTCACTTACGTTGTAGCGTGTGTCAGTACTTTATGTCTCTTTGTGGCTGAATAATACCCCATTTTATGGACAGACCACGTTTTGTTTATCCATTTCTCAGCTGATGGATGTTTAGGTTGTTTCTACATTTTGACACTGCCCTGTTTTTTTTTGTTTTTTTGTGAGGAAGATCAGCCCTGAGCTAACATCCATGCCAATCCTCCTCTTTTTGCTGAGGAAGACTGGCTCTGAGCTAATATGTGTGCCCATCTTCCTCCACTTTATGTGGGACGCCGCCACAGCATGGCCTGACAAGTGGTGCGTCTGTCTGCGCCCGGGATCTGACCTCAGGCTGCCAGCAGCAGAGCGAGCGCACTTAACTGCTACGCCACAGGGCCGGCCCTCCACTGCCCTGTTCTTATGGTGGATGTTGTGGCTGGTGGCCCTCAGACCTGGCCCAGCCTGCAGATGCATGTGGTGCTTTACAGCCCTCTGAGCCAGCATCTAGAGGTTGGAGACTACGTACCAATACATAACGTTAGCTTTGCTGGGGGAGACAGCAGGCAGATGTACTCATCTACTTTACTCTCCTAAACCACAAGAGGCCCAAGGCTTTTGGAGGAGCTGGGCCCCCCCGGAGCAGATCACAGGTAGAGACCTCCCACAGTGGAAGATGGGCTGGGGCCTTGCTGGCTGTAGACTGAGGCAGCACCTTCTGAAGGGGCAGATGACAGGCTGCTGCTGCCACTGCACGCACACACTCTGCCTCCTAAGCGCCCAGGGCTCAGCTGAAGTACTTACCTTCCAGGCAGTGGCAGAGTGAATGGGCAGTCTGGTTTCAGCCTGCTTCCCTCTGGCTCAGACAGGTGGGCTTCAGTGTAGAGCCCTGCAAGTGCCCCTTTAGCGCTGGCCTCAGCCCTTTTCGGCACTGGTGTCCAGCTGAGAACCCCTGGGTGCTCAAGTGCTGTCTTTTAAACAATCTAGATGAGGACGGGGACTTGGTTGCGTTTTCCAGTGACGAGGAACTGATGATGGCCATGTCATATGTGAAGGATGACATCTTCCGTATTTACATTAAAGGTAAGGGGCTGCTGTGGGGTGCTGCCTGAAGCCAGGTGCTCCCTACTGAGTAAACTAGCTTGAGATTATGGAGAAATTCCCCCAAAGAAGTGGTGAGGAACCTGCGGCTGTTTAAGACAGGGACCTAATCATTGCTATGCTTGGCCTGAGAAAGGAGTCCATGTCCACCATGTGGTGGGATTGGATGGTCTCTGGGTTCAATCCTCTCTTTTTTTTTTTTTGTTGAGGAAGATTGGCCTTGGGCTAACGTCCGTGCCCATCTTCCTCTACTTTATATGGGACGCCGCCACAGCATGGCTCGACAAGCGGTGCGTCGGTGCGCGCCCAGGACCCGAATCTGAGAAGCCTCGGGCTGCTGCAGGGAGCGTGCGCACACTTAACCGCTCTGCCACCGGGCTGGCCCCTCTGGGTTCATTCTTGATTGTGCCCAGACCAAGCACCACGGGCTGGGGGCAACTTTGGGAGTTCTGTGGCGTTTATTTTAGTGAGGGGCAAGGCCAAAGTGGTGCAGACCCAGCTCTTTGCTGCTTCTCTTCTGCCTGGGCCTCATGTGTCTGGGTAACAGGACGGGGGCTTGGGAACTTCCTGGCAGATTCTCAGGTAGCTTTCTTGCCACTTGAGCAACTGAATTCTGTGTGGACTTGGTGTCTGGAGAGCGGGGCCGGAGGCCCGCTGACAGCCCCGCAGTCGTGACAAGTGGGAGACTTCGTGGGACCCCACCTCACATCTCTCTGCTCTCCCTGCAGAGAAGAAGGAGTGCCGGCGGGACCATCGTCCACCATGTGCTCAGGAGGCACCCCGCAACATGGTGCACCCCAACGTCATCTGTGATGGTTGCAATGGGCCAGTGGTGGGGACCCGCTACAAGTGCAGCGTCTGCCCCGACTACGACCTGTGTGCCAGCTGTGAGGGGAAGGGCCTGCACAGGGAGCACAGCAAGCTTGCCTTCCCCAGCCCTTTCGGGCACCTCTCTGAGGTGAGCAGGGCCTCCCTGCGGGCCTAGGACGGCTGCGTGGTGGCTGAGAGGTGGAAGGAGCCCCCTGACCTGGCAGCACCCTGCCCCTCTGCTTGCTCCTCCCCAGGGCTTCTCTCACAGCCGCTGGCTCCGCAAGCTGAGGCACGGGCACTTTGGGTGGCCTGGCTGGGAGATGGGCCCACCAGGGAACTGGAGCCCCCGTCCCCCTCGAGCTGGGGATGCCCGCCCCAGCCCCGCTGCGGAATCAGGTAAGGCTTGCATCTCCTGGCTTCTGAAGGGTGAGATGGAAGGGCTGACAGAGTTGGCCTTCCCCGTGTCCTGAATTCCTGCTGTGCTCGTGGCTGGGCTGGGCACTTCACGGCCATTCATGGCATTTAATTCTCATGAAATCCTGCAAAGTGTGGACCATTATCTTCCTGAGGCACCTAAGTGCCCAAGGCCACTAATTCACCTGCACTAAACCTAGACTCAGTCCAGGCCTGGCTCAGCTGCCCTGTTCCCGCCTCGCCATGCTGCCCTTCTGAGGCGCCCTCATGTACAGCAGGGAGGCCCTTCCAGCACCTCCATCTCAGTAATGTGCTCCTTTCTCTTTTGTGTTAGTAGTCAGGAAAGTCAGAGCCAAACTTGTCAAGTCTTTTTGAACATAGTCATAAAGTTAAAAACTTCCACAGAGCTTGCATTCTAGATTTTTGGATTCTGGTTTTATTTTGATTTTATTAATCTTACTGTGTCCTTTGATTCAGCTCATCCTTTGGGACAAAGGTGGGGATATTTGTTTGATTTTGAGTAAATAACATACTTAGGATGTGGCCAGTATTTTATACTGTGTACTGGGTCCCCTGATGGGCTTCCAATCACCAGGATCACAGACAAAGGGGGAGCAGTTCTGAAGGAGGAAGGAGCCCGGGGAGTGGCTGGATGGGAGTGGGAGAGGAAGGCACTGCGAGTGTAGGCAGCCAGGACAGGGCTCGGATGGAGGGGCCTGAGGCGAAGGTGACAGGACTGACATGGGTATCTGAGGCCTTGAGAAATACGCTTTGAATTAAATATATCTTTGTTTTTTTAAAATGAAAGCCTCTGGCCCGCCGGAGGATCCCAGTGTGAATTTCCTCAAGAACGTAGGGGAGAGTGTGGCAGCCGCCCTCAGCCCTCTGGGTAAGTGGCTGCCCTGCCTGTCCTTTGGTGTCAGCGGGGCGTGTTAGTAACTTTGGCGTATGGGTGGCCATTGGTGGCTCTCTCTGGGACGCTATGGAGGATTGGTACTGCTGGGCCTTGAGACTGTAAGGATTTGTTGTCTCACATCAACCTTTGCCAGGTGCTACACCACAGGCCATTCAAGGTTGAATTCCCTGGGCCAGCCCCGTGGCTTAGCGGTTAAGTGCTCGCAGTCCGCTACTGGCGGCCCGGGTTCTGATCCCGGGTGCGCACCGATGTACCACTTCTCCGGCCATGCTGAGGCCGCGTCCCACATACAGCAACTAGAAGTATGTGCAACTATGACATACAACTGCTGGTGCTTTGGGGAAAAAAAGGAGAATTAGCAATGGATGTTAGCTCAGAGCCGGTCCTCCTCAACAAAAAAAAAAAGAGGAGGATTAGCACGGATGTTAGCTCAGGGCTGATCTTCCTCACAAAAAAAAAACAAAACAAAAACAAACAAACAAGGTTGAATTCCCTGACAAATTATCGTGCTTTTTCCACATGGAGTGAAGTGGAATCTGCCAACATTTGGTTGGGATAATCCCCCAACAGGGAGGGTGACCAGGCTCAGTTGCAAGGCTGGCCTGTCCACTTCTGCCTGTCTGTCCTTTGAGGGAAGAAGAGTCTGCATTTTCCCCTAATGTGAGCCTCGGGGTTTACTCAAGGACTTGGGTGAGTAGCTGGTTGAGAGGCCATTTTTCTTTTCCTCCCTTCTTTTGCAACCCCCAACCTTTCCGGGTGCTTCCTGAGTGCTGGGCTTGTGCCACTGCTAGGGAGCAGGGAGTGGTGGAGGAAGGTGCTGTGTGTGACACCAGGTTCCCAGTAGGCCTCTGGGTGGGTGAACCGCAGCATGCACCCCCACAGTGGTGTGACCTGGCCCAAAGTGTGAGCTCTGAGGCTTTAGCAAGTGCCCACCATGTCTGCTAGTCTGGATGGGGTGCTGCAGGGTTAGGCCCTGTGGCAGTGAGAATCAGCTAGTGAACGTGACTTGTGGTTTAAGGCTACGATGGATCCGTGATCTCAAACTAGAAGAGAGCTCAGCTTTGTGACTGCCGTGGCAGGAAGTGTCCACCCAGTGTGTCCAACGTGTGAAAAAATGCTGATAGGAGGGTGCCCAAACCCCACCTGCCACCCACCCTGTGGCTTACAGGGCATGACCCCCATCGCCTGCGACCTGAGACCGTTTCTCCTCAACGCTCATTCTGCCCCAGGACGCAGCTTTGAAGCAGCAGTGACATCTGGGCATTGCTGCTACATGAAATAGCTCAGATCACACACGGTTTCTGTTCTGGAGTTAAAGGCTCTTTAGAGAATGAGAAAAAAGAATTGATATTCTTAATGCTTTCCAAGGAGGATAAAGCAGTGGGACAGTGATCAGATTATAATCGAGAGATAAGCTGTGCCTAAGCTTATAAGTGTAGGAACTTTACAACTATGTGGAGTCCCAGGTCCCACCTTCCTGAATCTCGTAAGTTGGTCTTGGGTAGGGCCTAAGATCTGTGTGTTTTGAAGGCTTTCCAGGTGACTCTGGGTCACACTCGTCCATCCTGAGACCCATCTGAGCTTGTGGAATGTTTCAGAACTTGACCTGGATTCCCCACTCAGGACGCATGGGAATAATTTTGGAAGTGCTCAGAGGTCTTTTGGGATAAGGATAAAGGCCTTTTCAGATCTTTCAAAGTGGGTGGAGTTGCTTTCTTCCAACTAGGGAGGAACTCGGAGCTCTACGAAACAAGGGAAGTCTCAGTAAAATATGTCTGAGTAGTTTCAGTGCAGGAGAGCCATTCAAGGAGCTATTAAACTGCTGTTGGAGTGATGGGTATTTTCCTTTCTTATGAGGAACTGACAGCCAGGATGATTCACATTGCTGACTGCCTAGAAGGGGCTGTTCCCAGAGCAGAGCCCTCTGGCAGTCTGGGAGAGTAAGTCAGTGACCTGAACGGAAAATCCAAGGCCTTGTTTTGGTAAGAGCTGTGAGAGCCAGCTGAGCCGGTGCACCAGGGAGGAGGCTCATGACTGTTCCTGGCTAGGTTGTAGTCACTGACGTCTGGGATGTATACAGCAGGGCCTTTCCTGGTCTTCGAGAAACACCCCCCCACAAAGGCTCGGGGGCATCTGGGCACAGGCTGTCATAGTTTTGTGAGCCCTGAAGTCTTGGGTTCATCATTGGGTTGGGGAAACCCTTGCTCTACAATCTCTGATCCACCTACAGAAGAATCACGTGATTCACCTGTTTTAAAAAAGTAAGAAAGTCATGGATGTTCAGTGTACTATTCTTCCAACTGTTCTATTTGCTTGAACCTTCCATAATGAAAAGTTGGGGGGAAATAGAAGGAGAAAAACAATTTAAACATTGCAGATGGGGGTACTGATAGTTAAGCCTGCTTTTATCTCTGCTCATAAAGAGAGTTTAAAAAGTATAAAGCTACATGGCCAAAAAAAAAGGGAAAAAAGTAATAGAGGACAAGATAAAACGATGTCATCCAACTTTGGAAGATGGGAAATGGGTGGAAGGTGGGAACCAGCAGTGGAGGCATCAGAAACCCATGCGCGTTTGCAGGGACTCTGCTGAGATGCGAGACTAGCTGTTCAGGGACCACGGGAGGCCAGCAAACAAGGGAGAAGTTGAAGACCCCTATTAAGGATCACGTAGACACTTCAGGGCCCCATTTAGCCAGATGACGGCCCTTGCCAACGCTTGCAGAAGACCTGATGTTTAATTCCTGCAGTACTTGATCCAGGGAGGCTTCAGCCATAGGGACACCAGGGACACAAGGCAGGGTGAGGCACCAGCCTGAAATGGACATCATTCTTGAATGAGCAGTGGGTCCACCAGGAGCTGAGGAGTCCCTGCTCAGGAGAAGCTGAATGCGCCAGAGAAGCATCCTATGGCTCTGCCATCTAGGATCCAGTGCCTGCCGGGCACCCACTCACCCTGCAGATGGAAGCTAGTGGCGGCCCTGGACCCACGCAGAGTGCTTCCTGTGGCCTTTTCTTCATGCCTCCCTAGGATCAGACAGCCAGGGGTCACCAACCATTTGGAAAAACCTCTGTACATGGGAGAGAGGAAACTTGGGGAAGGACTTAATGGGGAAGAGAATGTTAGCATCCTCAGTGAGATACAAAAAAGTATTTGTATCCATGAAAAAGGAACAGGATACCATAAAAATAACAAAAGGGAACATAACAAGAACATTCTTGGAAATTAAAAAAATAATAACAGAAAAAAGAAAACTTCAAAAGAAGCCTTAGGTTTTAAGATCATCTCAAGGAAGTATTCCAGGAACAAAAAAATTAGAGGCAGGAGGAGAGAAAAGATGAGAAAATTCAAGGATTAATCCTGGAGGCCCCATGTAGGATGAATAGAAATTCCAAAAAGAGAGCAGAGAAAACCTAAGGGAGGAAGTGAACAAAGACTACAAGACAGTTTCTTGGCCCTGAGGATATTAAGTTGTGGGTTGCAAGGAACTCGTTGGACAGTGACTGAAAATGACCCCCCACCAAGCTTGTTGCTGTCAAGTGTCAGAACCTTTGGGGTAAAGAGAGGCTCCTCCCCTCCCCAGGTTACCAGAAAGTCTGGGCAAAGACAGCGAGTACAGCACTGGGAGCCAGGAGACAGTGCACAACCAATGATTTCCAAAGTCTGAGCTAGAATGGTTTTTCAACCTAGAATTCTATACTCAGCTAAGATGATCAAGTGTGAGGGCAGAACAAAGTTGTTTGCGGGTCTTCATCATCTTACCTGGGCTTGAGCCCTCTCTCCGGCTAACATGAGGAAATAAGCCCAGAGTGACGAAAGAGGTGCTCAACAAGAGGACCCAGCACAGGAGGGAGAGCACGGGCATCGCCAGGAGGGAAGGAAAGGCAGTCATGGGCAGAGAGCTGCCCAGAGAGCTGCCGATCCAGGTGGAGACAGAGGCTGGCAGCAAAAGGCCAGTCTCTAGGGACAAACCAGAACTGAGAGGTACTGTACGCTGAGCCCCTGTAGAAATGTGAGAGAAGCTGTTGGAGAACAGGGCAAGTTAGCAATGAGAAAAGAGGGTGTCACTAATGCTGCAAAACCCCAACTCCCAGGAAATAACCAAGTCGCTACTCGGCCCACAATGTTTCTGTAGTGGTACTAACATAGACATAAGATGTTGTTTTCACCACACGTTGAGTTTTTGAAAGGATATGGGAAGGGGAGGTGAGTGTTGATCTTCTAGAGTAAGAAATAAAGAGAACATAAACAATCAAGGAGAGCAGCATGGGTTGAGAGTGGTCTCTGAGGGGTGCGCTGGGCTGTGTGCTGGGGTAGACGGCGTCTTCACTATAGCCGTTGGACTGTTTGACTCTAAGCTGTGGTCATGTAGTCCTTTGATAAATTAAAATTAATTAAAAACACAGCGCTGGTGATTGTGCCTTCCCTCCCCCTTGGTGAACATGTGCCTAGAGTGTGAGAGACTGGAGGTGGACACGCTGGGCCCGTGCTTCCAGCCTCGTGGGCCTCACTGGGCCTCACACAAAGCTTGCACAGGCCGTCCGCCTGCCTGAGCAGAATTCCAGTGTTTAAATGGGTGTGTTTTTCACACCACTAGCCCCCAGCATGCAAGCATGGTGCTTCATGTGGTCCAGTGCCAGAGTGGGGTGTTCTGGCCACACGTGGGATTGGCTCCCATCCTGTTGCTAGGGCCTGGCCCTGCCCGCCGCGCAGCCGCTGTCCTACATAGTTGGGAAAGAACAAGGTCTCTTGATGGAGTTTCTGGCTCCGAAGCTGACCTGGGGTGTTTGCCGAGATTACTGTTTTACTAAGTTGGAGGAAGAGAAAGGTCCAGTGAGGTGAACACGTCAGCAGAGTTTTTGTAGAAACCAAGAAGATTTGGGGCCAGGATATGGGGAGCAGCACTTCAGCCCTTGGGACCCTGCAGATCACAGATGGCCATCTGTTTGCCTTCTGGCTGCCGGGTTGGCAGCCTGGCCCCGTCCCGCCCCAACTCTGTGCCTCTGGATTCTATAGTGGATGCCAAGGTCTGCATCCACACTGAGTGCCGTCCTCCGGACCCCTCACACACTCGTGGGGACTGAACGTGCAAGAGCTTTGTAAGCACACAGTCCCGCACACGCTGCATCTCACCTGCCAGTCAGCCCTCTGAAGGACTTACAGATTTTTGTTTCCTCCTTGGCCTCTAGGCATCGAAGTTGATATTGATGTGGAACACGGCGGGAAGAGAAGCCGCCTGACCCCCATCTCCGCAGGCAGCTCCAGCCCCAAAGAGAAGTGCAGCTCTCAGCCGAGCAGCTGCTCGTCTGGCCCTCACAAACCGGAGGGGGACGCAGAAGGCACAGCGCAGTCCCTGGCAGAGCAGATGAACAAGATAGTCCTGGAATCCAGGGGGCAGCCTGAGGCAAGCATCTTCCTGCCTATCCCCTGGGGCTGCAGCCACCCGGCACTTCTCCCAGTACCCCAGCCACAGCCCCTCCCCAGCACTTACACAGCCGGTGAGACCCTGTTTCTGCCGCGGAGTTAACTCTGTGGCATTTAAGTTATTCTGTGAACCTTCTGCGAGAACTTTGTAAAGAAAAATGCCTGTAACTCCTTGCCAGTCCTCCACACCCCAACTTGCCCAGGAATTGAGGCTGTGGTGAGGGGGCCGCTGCACACATTCCTAGTGTGCTCATGGCCGGGGTTCTGTTCCAGGAACAGATGGAGTCTGATAACTGTTCAGCAGGAGATGATGACTGGACTCATTTGTCTTCCAAAGAAGTGGACCCGTCGACAGGTGAACTCCAGTCTCTACAGATGCCCGAATCTGAAGGGCCAAGCTCTCTCGACCCTTCCCAGGAGGGACCCACAGGGCTGAAGGAAGCTGCATTGTACCCACATCTTCCACCAGGCAAGTGATTTCAAGCCATTTTGTATTTCTTTTTTGTTCAGAGCATCCTATCACCTGCTTTTAGCAATACAAAAAGATATCGTGTGCTCTACTGTGGGGCTTGTCTATTGACATGAGAGAAAATTAGGAGTTGGTTTTGTCCTCTTGTGTTTGTACTGAGCCCCAGTAAGCTCAGCTCATTTTAGTTATTTTTTTTTTTTTTTTTATAATTTTTTAATTTATTTTTTCCCCCCAAAGCCCCAGTAGATAGTTGTATGTCGTAGTTGCACATCCTTCTAGTTGCTGTATGTGGGACGCGGCCTCAGCATGGCCGGAGAAGCGGTGCGTCAGTGCGCGCCCGGGATCTGAACCCGGGCCGCCAGCAGCGGAGCGCGTGCACTTAACCGCTAAGCCACGGGGCCGGCCCCATTTTAGTTATTTCTAAAACTGAAGATCCAGACCCAGAATTACGAAGGCAGATGTGATGGAGAAGATGGCACTGGCTTTGGCCTGCCGTGCGCTGCTGAAAGTGGACTCAGAGTCCATTTTCACTGTTTCCTCATGGAGAGCGCTAACTTTAGAGTAGGGGTCACAGCCAAGATCCCTGTAAGGAGCCAGGCAGGAAGCCAATGTGTGAAGTTAGGTGGTGTGGAAGGCAGTAGGGTGGGGTGGGGACTGTGGCAGCCAGCGAGCACACACTGAATGAAAGAGGCAGCTGATACCCTGCTCTGGTTCATTACTGTCACATGGAACGATGTTTAAAAAAATATTCAAGTGAAAACCCATCTGTGGGCCAGATTTGGCCCTTGGGCTGCCAGTATCTATCTCCTCTGCCTTAGAGCAGGGGCAGCAAACCATGGCCTATGGGCCAAGAATGATTTTCCATGTTTATAATGGTTGAAAAAAAGTTAAGACTTATGAAAATTAGATGAAATTCAAATTCCAGCGTCCATAAAGATTTTTTTTTAAGATTTTATCTATTTACTTTTTCCCCCCCGAAGCCCCAGTAGATAGTTGTATGTCACAGCTGCACATCCTTCCAGTTGCTGTATGTGGGACATGGCCTCAGCATGGCCGGAGAAGCGGTGCGTCGGTGCACACCCGGGATCCGAACCCGGGCCGCCAGCAACGGAGCCCGCGCACCTAACCGCTAAGCCACGGGGCCAGCCCAAGCGTCCATAAAGTTTTATTGGAACACAGCCATGCTCATTTGTTTACATATCATCTGGCTGCTTTTATGCTGTAATGGCAGAGTTGAGAAGCTGTGGCAGAGACCAGATAGCCTGCAAAGCAGCTGAAAATATTTTGTTTCTGGCCTCTTACAGAAAAAGGTTGCCAACCCCTGCCTTGGAGGGTCCCTGTGAGGGTTGGAGGTCCTGTGAAGGGCTGGGCCGTGCAAGCACTGGGTACTTGCTGGCTGGACAGGATGCTGCTGCCTCTGGGCGCACACGGGGCCCCGAGACTCCCCTTCATGGCTTTCATTACTCTGGCAGAAGCTGACCCCCGGCTGATCGAGTCCCTCTCCCAGATGCTGTCCATGGGGTTCTCTGACGAAGGCGGCTGGCTCACCAGGCTCCTACAGACCAAGAATTATGACATCGGGGCTGCCCTGGACACCATCCAGTATTCAAAGCACCCACCGCCGTTGTGACAATTTTTGCTCACCTGTTCTATGTCCCCTTTCTTGTCTTAGTTGTGTTGAGCTAGTGTAGAACCCTAGGGCCTCTGTGAGGGCCAATTTCTCTGCATTTTTCTTCCAGAATCTGGGGGTGGGGTGCATGAAGGCATTTAGGGCAATAGAACAGGTGACGGGGGGCGGTTCTGCGTGTGTGTGTGCAGATGTCTGAGAAACGTCTGCCAGCTTCCTTCAGGGGCTCTGGCTCTTCACGGCCAGGCTGGGCCCCAGAGGCTTCCTCGGGCAGAGCGAGACTCCTTGCTGGGGAGGACACTGAGGCCACACCGCATCATATTCCTGCTCTCCCCCCGCCAGGATTACACCGGCAGTCCAGAATATATCTTGCCCGATGGCCTTCTGCTTTTTCTTTTTTTTTTAAATGACTAATAGTATGCTGACATGTAGTTGATTTTCTGCTAGAAACTCTAGGTTTCTATAGAGTACAGCCAACGTTCTGTCGGGGCAGAGGAGGCTGCCCTGGAGCAAGTACTGGAGGGAAGGACAGCCCAGCACTGTGGGCTTCCTATCCAGGAATAAAGAAGGGCAGATAGGGAGGGTGACGTTGGTGTTCACTGAGTCCTGCCTCTGTTTCATAACCACTGTAGTTCTCTCATTTCCAAATGTGTCAACTGCTTTTAAAGTAAGAAAATCCCTTTGTAGCCATTCTGTTATCATATTTGTAAACACTCTGTAATTAAATGGTATAAGCACTTTAATCAAAGATGTTGCAACAGGAGATGATCTGTTTGTTTGATAGTCACGTTTATTGTCAAGTTCTTGGTAGTTCCCATAAATCATCCTCAGTCCTATTTAAAAGCACCTTAGGGGTCCTGTTTCCAATGGCATAAGGTCTAGTGGAGAAGGGCTCAGTGAACAAGGATGTCTCAACTGACAGTATGCTAGTCTGTCACAGATCATCATCAAAGTCCTCACCGGTTTTAAAGAGGTCACATAGTCGCACAAGTGGGGCCTCCTGTGTCCCTTTGACCAAGGGCCCACCCTCTACCTGATACACCGTGCCCCACAGCTGCTCCGCGGTCTTCCCGCAGGGCCTCTTGGGCCCAGATGTGGGAGTGTGTGTGGCCCCAGGAAGCTGGAGTGTACTGAGGGGCCTGCTGAAGAGCCCTTCCCTTGGGGTCTGGGCCCTGGGCGTCCCCTGCTCAGCCTGTGCTGCCCCCGCTGGCCTGAGGCCTTTCTGCAGGGCTGTTGGGGGCTCCATGTCCATATGTGAGCTGTTCCCAGGTGGCAAAAGAAATCGTTCCCACTTAGAAGACGTGGTCCTGACCTGCTGGGCAGGACATGGTGGTTCCCCATGAGGAACAGTGAGCTCCCTGGTGTCCCAGTCCTCATGACCACTTCCTTCTTTGACGTTCCCTGCCAGGCCCACATCGCCCTGCAATAGAAATGAGAGCAGATGGCCACAGCCTCCATTCAGAAGAACAAGTGCCACTGCCTAGCAGGACTGAGGGACAAGAAGAGAGGGGTCCTCGTGCCTGCACTGCCGCTTCCTCATCTCTACCTTGGGGTTCTGACACTCTGCTCTATCGTCTACTGACTAGCTAGTTCTCAGGCTGGCAGGCTATGTATGTGCTTTGATGTTGAGATTTAGCAAAGCGAATAAATGCTCGCTACCTTACCCCAAATCCTTTGCTCAATTCTATGACCAAGCTTTCCAAAAATTGAAGATATTTTCATGTAATCAGGTGATCATCTCCTGGGGACCTTAAGATCAGGAAACTGGGGGCTTAAGAGGAGGTGCAAGCAGGAAGGCCCCTAGAGAGCATCTGGAAAGGGATGGAGACGCTCCATCCTGCCTGCTCATTGCCAGTCGGATGGGGAACGTCTCCAGAACTGTGTGAAGGGTTTTGAAACTGGAAGTGGCTGCACAAAGGCCCCTGTGGGATGTGACAATGGCACTGGGGCCTGGCTTCTCCCTTCTACTACAGGAACCAACGATGCACTGAAAATTGGGTTTCACTGCCTACAAAGGAATTAGAAAGCAATGACAGGCGGGACACTGCATCACCACCCCCAGGCAGTATGGACGTGGCTCTGTAGGCCCTTAGATGTACATCAGCTCTGCCACTGACTTGCTGTGACCTCACTGAACCTTGGCCAGCCTTAGTTCCTCACCTTAAAAACAAAACAGGCCTCTTTTGAGCATTCAACATGATAATGCAGTGGAAATGTTGAGCTCAGGAATGGGTGCAGGGTAGACTTAATAACTGTCATTATCATTCTATAATTTGGCGAGTCAGGGCCACACTCTTACCTGGTGTCACACAGCTAGTTAGTGGCAACACCAAAGTTTGACCTGTGGACTACAGTCTGAAGCTGGCCAGGCCCACCTTGACCTATGTTGGGGGGTGGCAGTGACTGACACCCAGCTGAGTTCCTCTGCCTCAGTGCCTGTAGCTCCCATGACAGCGGAAAGCATGCTATGGCCTTGGAAGTGTGGTGGGGTCTGCTAGGTCTGAAGCATCAAGAACAATTCCAGATCCTAAGTGAGGAGACTGCCTCAAGTGCAAAAGAATGCACGTGGGTAAGGGAAAGTGAGGATAGAAACAGTTTCTCAGAAACCCAAGGCAGGGCCCATGTTGAACAGTCTCCCAAAGACCTCCACTCCACACAGAACGAAGAGGGTGGTCCTGACTCAACCTTGGCTGCCTCCAAGGCATCAAGACACCCCTTTGACGAGGAGTTAACAGCACTGAGAGGATGAGTGTGGCAGGGAAATGGCATGGGCCAGAGAAGGGAGCTAGCTTAAGACACAGAAAACAAGACATCCAGGTGTTAAAAAAAATCCTGTGTGTGCTCAATGGTCACTGGGACCAGAAGAGAAACACTGTCTTCAATCACTGACCTTCTGGGGCTCCAAGGTGAGCTGAGAGTTGCCTGAGTCCTGGACATTAGGGCTGCATGGAGGCTGGACCGTGCTCTGGCTCCATTTCCTGGCAAAGGGAAAGTGCTGTCAAGAATCCAGTCCTGTCACTGCCCAGTGGCCGGATCCTGACTCTGTGGTCAGCTGGTCTGATGCCCAGCACTAGTAGGGACCTTGTCCTCCCTTATAGCTTCCCAGGTGGCTGCATACCCTCCACAGGACAGTAACAAGCTGTCCACCTACATCCACGGCAGTCTATTTCTCTGCTCCGTAGCCTGCAGTTATTAGAAAGTTCATATTTTGAACTGGAAATCTACCTCCCGATAGCACCTGCCCCGTAAAAGCCACCACAGATCTGGACAAGGCAGTCTCAGAAACTCACTGAAATGCATAGTAAGTCTGGAGAAGAACCCTATAAAAGTCAGGTCTTCCCTTCTCCAGGCTAAAAGCTCCCCGATAGGTCGGCTACTCCAGCCACATTTCACTTTCTCAACCCTGCCCTTAAAGTAAATTCTTCCCTGAGGTCAGCGCAGTCTGAGATGTTCAGAATTAAGTGAGCATCGACAAAGGCACCCACACTGGCATCCTGCCCAGCCCCAACCTCTACACTGGCAGCACCTGGCCCTGGCCAGGCTAGTGAGGGCCCAGTGGTGACGGTGCCCACGGGCTTATGTCACCCAGGCTTCTCCCACGTTGCCGGCCACTAGCAGCTGCTCATTAGTCCCCCACCTGTGACTTGCATGGCACCTTTTTCTAGGCAGGCCTGTGTTGAACGGAGGCTCTGGCTTCTCTGTCCTGGAGGAGGGCTGTCTGCTGAAACACACCCTTCTTCCTTCTGGCCCCAGGTCTTTGGACTCCCTTTCCAGATACTTCATCCAGCGGTTCTCTGAGGGCTGGGCTTTTTCCTACAGGATTGAGAAGTAAGTTAATTCTCAGAGTTGGAAAGCAGGCACTTTTACTGAAAATCCCCAGCCCAACTCTGAGGCCTGAGGGTCTCAGGACCCATGTCTCCCCCGTCACCAGGAGAGGCATTTGGCTGGAAGGTAACAGGGAGACAGATGTCGTGAGACACCACTGGGGACAGTGCACCCTGGCACAGACCTTGCAAAAGCTGCAGGGCACAACATCAAGCACTTTGCAAATGTCCACGCTCCCTGGCCCACTGGTTCCAAGCACAAAGAGGCTCATCAAGTGTTATAAACAATAGCAAATATTTATAGTAGCAAAAATTTCGAAATAACCTAAATGCCCAATAAGGGAATAAATATCGGTATGTCCACTATATTCTGTAGATACTTTTTAAAAATGAAAAGCACTGAAAACTATACAGCAACATAGAAGAATGACATAAGTGAAAACTCCAGAATGCAAACAAGTATTTCTTATAATACAGGTGATGTAAAATTAAGGCTGTAAGTAGTCAAAATTGGAAGTATATATTCAAACACGCAAGAAGAGCTGCCATGTTCAAGTAGTGTGCCTCAGAGCATCTCCTCTGTCTACAAAGATGAAGAGCACATGGAGAGGACACAGCCAGCGTGACACTGAGCAGAGGCAGGGCTCTGCCCTCAGGTGGGCAGGGAGCCTCTCTCTGACACCTGTTCCCACTGCCCTTGTCCCTGGCAGGACAGTGTTCCACATACCCAGTGTCTTGGATATATCAATAGCGTCACCTACTCAGTCACTCAAGCTTCTACACACACTGCCCCCCAACACTGTTTGAGCACTTACATTACTAAGCACAGAGGCAGAATCACTGCATTTGAGCCCTGTTCTCAGGCTCAGTCTGGAGAACCTACGACCCAGGCCCTCCACAACAGCATCCCTTCCCTACTGGAGGTATGCCCAGAGGGCTGTGGGGCAACGGAGAAGCACAAGGAGGTGAAGTTCAAGCTAAGTTCAGAGGAGTTCTGCAAGCTGTTTTCACCGAGTATTGTAATTACTTGTACACATGGCTGTCACCATCCTTACAAAAGGGACAGCTTCATTTTTGTGTTCCCTGTAGTTTTAAGCCAAGTGCATGTCATTTGGTGGCATCAACGAGTGTTTGCTGAACAAATGATGAATGAATGAATAAATGAAACCCCCTTCTGTGACACAGAGCCAGCCCAGGTGGCTATGCTGAGGTGGGTGCTGCTGCTTACCTGCAGACTTGTGTGCGCAGCCTGCTGAGGACCTGCATTTTCCTCTTCATTGGCATTTACAGGTTCTTCCAAAGACCTTAGAGAAAGATTGCACATATGTCCTTTGGAAAATGACCAGGAAGATGAAGGACAGGGAAGATGGGAACAGCAGGATGCAAGGACTTGACAATGGATATCAAAGACTGTTCCAGGGCATCTTAGGATCTTATCTCTGTTGTTTAGATGTGATTCAGTAATCTTCCAGCAGTTCAGAAGGCTGGGGCAGGGGGACCCATTTGTCTCTAAGTCCTCGGATTTAGACCGGTAGAGCCCTCCATCAACAGGAAAAGTGACACAGGGTAGAAAGGGCAGACTCTTAACCCACAGAGACCAGAGTATGCATCCTGGCTTTGCCAGTGACTGGCTGTCACTGTGACAGTGTGACTTTGGGTTCATCACTGTATCTTAGTTTCCTCATGTAAAAATGGGGATAATACTGCATGGGTGATTGTGAAGATAAATGAGACATGTGTGCACATGCCCTGCTCACGGCCTGGAACAAAGCAACGCTGGCTGAACTCCTGAAGCAGAGTCCCTCACATCAGTAGTGGAGGTGCCTCCATCACACAGGGTCACACGAGTTTTTACAGTTGTTACATTTCAACCACTGCAAGAGGGGAGAAGGCATTTTATTGAGCTTGATGTGTCACAGTGACTTCCCAGCCTCCCAAGGACAGCATGGCTCTCTCACCACACAAAGAGCAAGGGAGTCGGAGCCTCTGCAGCCTTGAGCGGGGCTGGATGGCCAGTGAAAACATTTATTGTGTGAGGGCTGGAGGTTAGAGCCAAAGCCACATCCATTCATGTCAGACAGCTGTTACATCATATGATCAAACTGTTAACTCTCTAGTGAACTACGAGAACCCAAAACTCCACCAAATGTGGGCACCTCTACTTCCATTTTTTCATCTGTAAAAAGAAGTCAGTGGTCCTCACAGGGTGATTATGAAGATGAGATGAGATCATGCACGTGCAACTTCTACCCTGCCACATGTCGATACTCCAACATTCAGGCGAGCAGTGTCCTGACAGCTACTAGCCAGAGCTCTGCTCACCTTTCTGACTCAGGAACACCATCAACTAAAGGACTTCTCTCAGCAATCTGGAGATACTAGTCTGTCCTCTCGCTTCTAATGTTACTACAGAGAAGCTGGTGTCTGTTATTCCTTCGCAAGTGATCTCTCTTCTCTCCAGCTACTTTTCAGCTCTTCCCTTTGTTTTCTGTGTTCTGCAATTTCATTAAGTTGTTGTGTCTAAGGGCATATATTTTTTTAAATTTTATTTATTTATTTTTTCCCCCATAGCCCCAGTAGATAGTTGTATGTCATAGCTGCACATCCTTCTAGTTGCTGTATGTGGGACGCAGCGTCAGCATGGCCGGACAAGCGGTGCGTCGGTGCGCGCCCAGGATCCGAACCCGGGCCACCAGTAGCGGAGCACACGCACTTAACCGCTAAGCCACCAGGCCGGCCCTTCAGCTGCATTTAATGTTCAATCTGTCTACTGAATTTTTTTTTTTTAAAGATTTTATTTATTTTTTTCCCCCCAAGCCCCCAGTAGACAGTTGTATGTCATAGCTGTACATCCTTCTAGTTGCTGTATGTGGGACTCGGCCTCAGCATGGCTGGAGAAGTGGTCTCTCGGTGTGTGCCCGGGATCCGAACCCGGGCCACCAGCAGCGGAGCGCGCGCACTTAACCGCCAAGCCACGGGGCCGGCCCTGTCCACTGAATTTTTAATTTCAGTGATTATAATTTTCATTTCTACAAACTCTTACTGTCATTTTTTAAAGTCCCTTGCACCTCATATTATCAACCCTCTATTTTATTTCATTAAATATATTAAACATATAATATTATATATTCTGAAGTCTTTGCAGATCTGACTTTTCTGTCTGTTGTTTCTGCTGTCTTTTGCTCACGGTGACATGTCTCCTTGAGTGTTTAATGATTTTCAACTCTGAGTATATGCTCCTTGGAACTTTATCTGTGGGAATTCTTTCAGGCCTGGGTTGAAGATGTGTTGTTCCAGAAAGGAGCTGCCTTTACCCCTGCTTCCGGGGACAACTTGAAAATAAATTCTCAGCTTGAGGCTTTTCACATGATGCACGTAAAAAGGCTGAAAAGCCATGTGACGGGTTCCTTGTGCTTATAAAATTCCGAGAGACACTTCCCCTTGTGAACAGATTTTTGGGCCCCTCTCCCTGGTCTAACAGGTGAATCTAGCAAGCAAACTGCATAGGCTTTAAGTCAGTACAATAACATCCATGCTGTACTGTGAAGCAGCCGTGCAGGCCGTCTTCAGCCTGTGTCAAATGACCTTGCAACCCCACACCTCATGACTGAAGATGCCAGCTGGGCAGAGCCACAACAGGAAGAGATAAAGGGGTACCTTGCTCTCACATTTCCCAGCTGCATTTCTTAGAGATGGAGGGAATAATTAATAACACTGGTCCTTGCCTCCCTCCACACACAGATAACGTCAGCATTTCTAAACCTGTCTGATGTATAACTGAGAAACTCTTGTTTATGTTACCTTCAATGTATAATCTAGAGAAAAGCCCAGATGTACTCTATCCCCATTGTTTTTGGACATACATGAAATCTAGTTATAAGTTTTTTTTCTCGTCCTCTTCCCGGCATATTTGCTGTTTTGTGGAAGAGATGTAAGCTGCACTTAAACTCACACATCCTGGAGCAGGTCCAGCAGAGCACTCTGTTGAACTGTTTCCTGGGGTTTGAACCCCTCACGCTGATTACCGAATAAACTCCTTCACTAATATCGCCCAGACTCTATTTTAGTCAACACCCTCCTCAGCCAGTGCCAAGGTCACACGGGCAGGCTCCCTGCTGCAGAGGGGGTGCATTTCTAGTTCATTTGCACACAGAAGGTGTAGTATTTTGGAGACTCAGCTTGATATGGCGTCTCCGACTGACCTTCCCGCACTGGACAGGCCCCAGGCTGTGTCTCTGTCTCGTGCACCCTCCCAGCTGTCCAAACGGAAGCTCCAGAGCATGAGGCTCCAATCGCCCCAGCAGCCCCGTTGCTTACTCTCTGGATTTTGGCTTCTGCTGCTGCTGCTTTCTTTTTGTGAGGAAGATTACCCCTGAGCTAACTGCTGTGGCCAAGCCTCCACTTTTTGCTGAGGAAGACTGGCCATGGGCTAACATTCGTGCCCATCTTCCTCTGCTTTACATGGGACGCTGCCACAGCATGGCTTGACAAGCAGTGCGTCAGTCTGCTCCCGGGATCCGAACTTGCGAACCCCGGGCCACCGAAGTGGAATGCGAGAACTTAACTGTTATGCCACTGGGCTGGCCCATTCTGCTTCATTTTTGACTTCTAATAATCATTTACTTTCTTGTCATTTCATCAGTGTATTCAAAATATTGTAGGGGCCGGCCCCGTGGCTTAGTGGTTAAGTGCGCGCGCTCTGCTGCTGGTGGCCCGGGTTCGGATCCCGGGTGTGCACCTACGCACCGCTTCTCCGGCCCTGCTGAGGCCGCGTCCCACATACAGCAACTAGAAGGATGTGCAGCTATGACATACAACTATCTACTGGGGCTTTGGTGGGGAAAATAAATAAAGTTTAAAAAAAATAATAATAAAATAAAATATTGTAGTTGGCATTTTCAGTTATTCTCAGTTGGAAGATTGTTCAAATGGTAAGACGTGGAAATCTAAGAGATTTCTCCATTGTATACTTTCACTATCCACTCAAGATGAAAACAGGGCAAGATAACCATGCCCTTCTCAAACAACTGTACCTGAGTGACATCTCTGAAACCTGTCCCTGCAGCAGATTTAATTTTTGAACATGGCGTCTGCAGTCAGCACCAGAGCCCTCACCGTAAGCCTGAGAGAGAAAAAAAATATATTAAGGTTAAAAAGTGTTGACAGAATGCTGAGAAACAGATCCACTAGAGATGTACCTCAGGGAGGGTAAAGCTGTACTTTGCAAGGCCCAAAGATGCCAGAAGCACCATGCAAGAATCCTAACATTGGATGGTGTTTCTGCAGTGATCTACAAAGGAACAGTCTCAGGAACTAATAGTTTCAGTCTATCTGGCTGCCCTGCGAGCACCCTGAACTCCATATATCAAAGCCAAACAACCCAAAACCCCACACCAAATGGTTAATGAACACGAATAAGAAACTCAGAAGAGAAGTAATACAAATTGCCAGTAAATATGTGAAATGATACTTACCCCTCACTGATAAACAAAGGAATACAAAATAACATGAGACACTTTTTTTCATTTCAGTTACTTCTTTTTCAATATATATTTGTCGAGCACCTATTTTGTGCCAGGCCCTGGACCAGGTAAGGAGAGCACAACACAGGAGTGGGCAAGAGTCACTGTCATCAAGGAGCTCACCCTGTAGTAAGGAGACAGACAGCAGACTCACAAGTCAACTACCACGGCCATCAGATGAGAGACGTGCTACCAAGGAAAATAAGGCAATGGAATGGGTGGGCTGGAGTGGGGACAGAGTAGACAATTTTATACAGGGTGTTCAAGGTGGTCAAGGAATGGGTCACTGAGGTGACATCTGAGCACAAAAGAAGATATGAGGGAGTAAGCCTTGTAGATACCGGGGGGGAAGAATAGCAGCAGAAGCAAGGAAACAAGAATGAGTGCAAAGACCCCAAGCCTGGCATTTTGGAGGAGTAGCGAGGAGGCCACATGGCTGGAGCTGAGTGGTCTAGGGGGAGGATGGCAGGAGATGAATTTTGAAAGCATAGGCCCTACTATAGGCAGAGTCAGCCTCGTGGGCATGAGACCCACTCTGCTGTTACCATGTTGAAATTCTTAGTAATCTTATCTGAGAACTTGTGTTGTGTAAGCGAAGTCTGATGGGACAACAGAGCATACCTGTGAGCAGAGGAGATACACTATACGTGTCCACTGGTCCTTGCCACCCCATGTGCGTACATATGCTTAATGCCCCTGGAGCACAGAATTCCAGTGGACTCACAACACATGGGAGTTCAGTGAGACTCTGAGTGTAGACTGTAAGTGTGTGCTGTCTATGCCTGAGTACGTGGGAGTGCCCATAGTCTGAGAGGCCAGGCTTTCCACTGGAACCAGAATTTGCTTCAGATGTGAAAAAAGGCAAGGCTGTTCTAAAAAATATGAACAACCCATGGAACCCTATCATATCTTTTCTTACTCCTGTTACTGCCCTGAAATAGCCAATCACTTAAATGAAAATGAATGACACAGAAGGAAAGGGAAAGCTAGGGCAAGCCACAGTTCCTTCTCCTCTCAGTCCATCCTTCCTTATCAGTGAGCTGAAGGTAGTGAGTGTGGGTAGAATGTGTGCATATCAATAAGTAAAGTAAACACAGCTGAGTGAATTTTGTGCAGCATTTCCACCGTATCAGTAAGAATGAAACACGTCCGCATGTACGAGCTGCAAAATGCAAACTGCAATTTTGATGGTCCTGCACATATTCTCAATGCTCTTATATTATTCTGCATAAACTCTGCAAATGTTCTAAATGCTCTTTGCATTTAAAACTAGTGTTGCACAATATAAATGGTAAAATTCATGCTAATAATTTAAAGTGTTAGTTTTTCTTTATATAGAAAGACATCAGGGGGCCGGCCCTGTGGCTTAGCGGTTAAGTGCGCGCGCTCCGCTACTGGCAGCCCAGGTTTGGATCCCGGGCGCGCACCGATGCACCGCTTCTCCGGCCACGCTGAGGCTGCGTCCCACATACAGCAACTAGGAGGATGTGCAGCTGTGACATACAACTATCTACTGGGGCTTTGGGGGGAAAAAAAAAAAAGGAGGAGGATTGGCAATAGACGTTAGCTCAGAGCCGGTCTTCCTCAGCAAAAAAAAAAGAGGAGGATTGGCATGGATGTTAGCTCAGGACTGATCTTCCTCACACACACACACACACACACACACAAAAAAAGACATCAAGTGGTAAATAAAAGACATCATGAAAAGTCGAGAGACCATGAAAGAAAAGCTTAATATTTTAGTATTTAACAGTACTTTTTTCTGCTTTTGAACAACGGGCTCCATATTTTCATTTTGCACTGGGCCCCCCAAACCCGGCCCTGTGTGTAGGACCATGGATTTTGCTCCAACCTGGAAGGTCTAAGCAAGTGACCCGATCCAGCATATGCTTTAGTAGGACCCTTCAGCTCTGGTGCTGACAGCAGACTGTACAGCAGACAGGTGGCCAATCAGGAGGTCGCTGAAACACTGCAGCAGCTCAGACCACCGTGGTAACAAGTGGGCACAGTCTGGGTATATTCTGAAGGTAGAGTCGACAAAATGTGCTGAGGGTTTGGAGGAAGAGTATAAAAAAAAAAGAGGAGTCAGAAACGACTTCAAGGTTTTTATCCCAAACAACTAGAAAGAGGGACTTGGCATTTAAGAGATAGGGATGACTACGGGAGAGCAGCTTGGTGTGGCGAGGTGAGGGCTTCCGTTGCAGACACAGGAGGTTTGGGAGGCCTGTGGACAACCAGTAGGAGCTCAGTGGATGTGGCACACACAAGCTCAGGGGCAGCTCTGGGGTCTGAGATAGACACTCGAGAGTTGTCAGATGATCTCATTTCAGACTACTAGAGGAATGAGTGTAGCTAGAGAAGAGGTCAAACAACCAAGTTCCAGAGCATTCTAACGTTTAGAAGTTGGGGAGATGGGAAAAAACTAGCAAAGAGGATTGAGATACAGCCAGGAAGAAATGAGGAAAACCAGGAGCAGGATGACTAGAAGTTCGAGTGAAGACAATGTTTCAAGGAGGAGGAAGTGACAAACTATGAAAGACACTGCCAATCAGTCAAGTTGCTTGAGAACTGAGAACTGACCATTGTTTTTAGCAACATGGAGATCACTGCTGACTGTGACATGAGGAATATTAGTGGACTGGTGGGGAGTGAAATCCCATTTGGGGCAAGTTCAAGTGAGAATGGGAAGAGAGGAATGGGAGAGGGGAATGGCAAAGTTTAAAAAGACTGATAACCTACCTCTGGCATAACCAATAGGGCATATGTTCCCCTGCATGTCAGAGACCACCAGCTGAATATTAAAATGCATTCTCCCCTTATCTAGGTACAAACTAAATTATATTTTCTAGTCTTCCTTACAGTCAGGTGTGGCCATGAGACTAGGTTCTTTACAGCAGAATATGAGCCACTTACAGGCCTGGCCCCTAAAAGCCTCCTGGGTAGCTCCTCCAGGCTCTCGTCCCTTTCAGTGGCTAGAGGCAGCAGGAGACAAGCCTCAGGAAATAACAGAACTTCGAGACGACAGGAGCCTGGTCCCTGAATGATCACACCAAGGACAGTGGCCCTGCTGATCTCAATTCCTCCTGGGACTGTTACAAGAACAAGAGAAACAACTTCTATCATGTTAGGCTGCCACAATTTTGGTGTCTATTTGTTACTGCCTAGTAAACCATAAGTCATATACCAGTGCACACACATGGAGGCACTGAAAGGAAGGCAAAGCCTCCTCGAGGAGAATTTAGAAATATATACTGACATCTAAAACAGGAGCTAGGCCTCCATCTTCTGAGACCCAATCTCAGAACAGGTATCTGCAACTGATCATCCCCACTCCCACCCCCATCCCCAGCCCTGTTACTGGACCAGACACAGATATCTCAGTCAACTGGGCCAATCAGATTGCTTTTCACAGGAGTTTACAATTGGGACTCAGCTATTCCAGTTGGCTTGACATGCGAGTCTGTGGTCTGTGAGCAGACACTGCTCACTGTCAGTTGTTGACAGTCACTGTCAACTGTCTGGGAAGAGAGAGGAAGGGAAAGAGAGGAGGCAGAGAGAAGAGATAGAGGGAGAACTAGATGAGGGAGAAGCTGAGGAAGAGATGCTGCCCGCGTCGTCGGCAGCTTTGCAGTTCCTGGGGCCGGTTCTTGAAGGGGTCAAGGCTGAAGCTCCTCCCTTGATTCCCCAAGAAACCCCATTACCTTGTCTGTACATTTTTGTATTTTGCTGAAGCTATTCTGAAGTGGTCTTTTTCCTATTATTTGCAACTAAAAGAACCTTGGTAGCAGGTTTGAAACAGCAATTTAACTTCTAGGAATTTGTTCTAAGGAAATAAATGGTCAAGTGAAGAAACAGGTATTTGAAAGAAGCTTCATTGTACAGTTGTTTATAACGACGGAAACTAAAATCAACCTAAATGCCCATCAATGTGGAACTGGCTATTTATTCATTCAACAAATATTTATCCAGCGAGCACTTACTATGTGACAGGCCCTGTGCTATGTGCCATGGGTGTATCAGTAAATACAACGGGCAAAGCCTCTGCTCTCATGGACTTATAGTCTGAGACGGACAACACTCACGTAACCACACTCAAACAGAATTTCCGATCAGGATAATGAGAAGAGCTGGGGGAAGCCCCAACAATGAGCACAAAGACCTTAAGGGGGGAGCAGATCTGGATTATTTCAAGGCCAGAAAGAAAAGGCCCTATGGCTGAAGGAGCAGAATGATGAGACGAGGCTGGAGAGGTGGCATCAAGGGCTGAAGCAGGTGACTGAAGGGTTAAATGAGGCCAGGACCCAGGACAGTTTGTGGTATTAAAGAGATGAGCTGGGTCAACAGGCATGGACTTGAAAAGAATTGTGATGCTAGGTGAAAAAAGTGGCTAGCTAAGAGCACTTACAACGTGCTCTCTTCAGTCCACAGGCTCCCTCGAGTCTCTCCTGACTGCCTCTGCCTCCTGAGCCCACCCCCCTCCACACCCCTGCATCCACCCACAGCTGTCTGCCCACCCCTAGTTGGGTCTGATTCCCCTGTTATCTTCTGACAGGCCCTTGCATTGTCCTTTCATCGTGCTCAGTCTAGTCGTAAATTACGCGTGTCTGTGCATGTGCACACACACGTGCACAGATTAGCTTCTCTTCCCCTCCACTCAAGCACCTGGGAGGGCAAGAACGACAACGGTCTTACCTTCCCCCGTTTCCCCTGTGCCTGCACACAGAAGTACTCAATAAATACCTGCTGACTAAATAAACAAATGAGGGTAATCTTCCAGGCGCTGCTCCATCCATTTTGGTTCCTGAAGGAACAGGAACAGGAACCTAGAGAGCAGGAGCTCTGTGTCTTTGGAACTTGATCCCAATCGTGAAATGCTGGGGCTCCACAAGAAACATGCTTCGGCAGGGCCGGGTACCACCTGCTGTCTGGCATGGGTGTCAGATGCCCCACCTCCCAGGACTCACCCGCAAAAACGGCTGCTTCTCTCCACAGGCTTTGCATGTCCATTTGAGACTCTTCTTCATCTACAACGAAATTTCAGAAATACACCTTAGATAATTATTTAAAACAGGTGGGACTGGATCAGAAATAATAATTTAAAAAGATCAATGGAAAAGAATAAAGAGTCCAGAAACAAACCAACACATATGTATAAAAATTTAGTATATTATAAAGGTGAGGAAAGATCAGACTATTTAATAAGTGGTGCTGGGAAAACTGTCTACCCATATGAAAGGAAATCAAATTAGATCTCTACCACTTGTGGTTCTCAAAAATAATTCCATAACACTTAACTTGGATTCTTGATAAATCAGTCTGACTAGACGGGTTCTCTTTACCGCGATAAAAGGACTCACATCAAGCTCTGAAGCTGCAGAACCGCTACCTGCATTCCCAGCAAAGGCAAGAGCAAGCCAACTACCCCACTACTACTTATCATTTTTTTCTGGAAGTACTAGCCAATGGAATTGTAAAAGAGAAAGTAATAAGAGGTATGAAAATGGAAAGAAGAAAAAAAAGCTATCATTATTTATAGATGACTTTTTTTTCTGAAAACCCAAGAGAATCAAATGAGAAACTACTAAAAATAGTAAAACAATCTAATATAAGGGCCTGGTAAAAAAATTAATATATCTTCAAAAATTAATATAGCCTTAATATAAGCAAACATCTGTTTAGAAGAGATAATAAAAGAAAAGAGTCCATTTTATAATAGCAACAAAGAAAATGTTATCAAGGGGCACCACACTTGCTTTAAGAAATGGAATCAGGGCCAGCCCCAGTGTCCTAGTGGTTACGCTCAGCACGCTCTGCTTTGGTGGCCCAGGTTTGGTTTCTGGGCATGGACCTACACCATTTGTCAGCCATGCTGTGGCGGTGACTCACATACAAAATAGAGGAAGACTGGCACAGATGTTAGCTCAGGGTGAAATCTTCCTCAGGAAAAAAAAAAAAAGAGAGAGAAAGAAATGGAATGAAATAGCATGACTAACATCACAAAGGCATCTAGGTTGATTCATAAAAATTAATGTGATTAATACAACCCTGATACAAAAAATCAGGGCTTTTGGGGAAGTACCCAGAAGAATTCTAAGGAGAACAAGCAGCATCTACTACAAATTTAAGTGGTTATATCCTAAGATCTAGTAATTTTACTTCGCAGCATCTACCTTCAAACACTACAAAGATACTGTATATCTTCTATGAGTATATATGCAAGTAAGAAATGCATTTTTTTTAAAAATAAAAGGTCTGGAAGGACACAGTAACTGGTTAACTGGCTAGCTCTGGGGGGCTGGAGAAAGGTAGTATGATACAACAGCATCTTTGCAATCGGACAGCCTTGGCTCTGCCATTTATTAGATGGAAAGACCACTTGATTTTTCTGGATTTCAGTCTTCTCATCTCTGTAAAATGAGAATGATAATTCAGAGATTGTTGAAATTAAATGAGATGTGTAAAATTGCCTGGTACATGGCAGACTTGGAATTAAACTGTTAACTCTCTTTTTTCCCTTGCTTTCACTTTTCAGAAAGTTGAAAATGACCATGAGAGCACGCACTACATCATATATGTGTAATAATTTAAAAGTGGAAATGATTCCCATTTATCCTTAACTCCCGGAACCAAAAAGTGAAATAAGTAACAATAGTTTCTGAGCCCCTAAAATAGCCTTTACAAAGTCTCGGCAAGCTTTCAGGTCAATACTCAGCATCTTACTGACTTCTAAACATACATTTTAAAGAAGTTTGACATTATCCTTTTTCAAGGCACAGCGGATTAGCAGATACACAGGAGGAGGAGGGGACTATCAGAAGCAGATATGCTTGACAGCAATGTTAGGTGACTTCAAGCAGGGAGATAGAATACGATCTAGGAAAAAATAGGTAAGTGACATCCCCTATCTTGATTTTGAAAGTCAGGGAAGCAATACCTTTCAGAAATATCGATTATCCTGTTTAAAATACTCGAGGTGCCGGTTGTTGACGCTTTGGGGAGCAGGCATCCTCACCGCGCGGATCAAGACCAGGGCAGAGCCAACGAGTGACAGCAGGGGGCGCACAGTCGTGCCTCAGTTTTAAAAACTGTCATCTCGGTCCTCAAAGAATTAAAAATAGAGATGCCCTATGATCCAGCCATCCCACTACTGGGAATCTATCCAACGAACCTAAAATCAACAATCCAAAGAGGCTTATGC